AAAAAACTGTAATACAGCCTTACTTTGTGTAGCTTACCTCATCCGCCATATTTTTACTTTTTATTTCTTTTTTTCTTTACTTACAGAACTTTGATTTTATATCTTTTTGTTGTTGTTTTTTGCTCAAAGGAATATCTCTGAACAACTTTTATCTTTATTTTTTTAATATACTTATCACACTTACCCACATTTGCGTACATTTGTACTTATGAACTTACATACTTATGAACTTATATACACATTTATATAAATTTCAATTAAATGCGCTAATATAAACGAAAAAGAACATTAAACGCGTATTCATCGGCGGGAACCTGCGTCAGCATCACCCTTCTTCGTTCACGCGCCGCTTAGTTGTTTCTTGTATTTTTGTAATTGAATTTGGCAATAAACGTTTATTTTAATCCTCTACTATATACATATGTACATATGTATGCATGTATATAAAGTTGCCACGTTTTCCTTTTAAATTGTGTGTGTGCGCGCTTCATTTGCGTATTTTACGCTGCTGTTTTCTTTTGATTTTATTTAAAATGTGAATGAGACGTGTTTCATTAAAATTCAATCAATTACTTTCGCGGCTACTAAGTTGAAGCAGCAGCAGAGTAAACAGCACAACCCAACCCAACCCAACCCAAACGCATAACATCACATGAGAATTGGCTTAAAAAAATATACATACGTGTATACATATATGTACATATGTACATATGTATATATGTACCTATATTCAGCAGATCGATATTGACGGACAGACAGCGGTACTTCAAGTACACAACTGTTCAATCAATTAGTGAATGCGTTGAATTAAATTAAAATTTCTTTTTTGTTTTTAAGAAAGTAAATTACATATTTACTGTGGTTCTAAATAAGTAATCGGTGGAATTTTTCACATCTACAACTTATTTAACTGTTTTTTTTTTTATAATTAATTTATGCAGTTTCTGAGTATTTACACTTTTAAGCTGAGACTAATTTGAGCTTTACTTATGGCGTTTTGCTTTTCGCACAAATACTAAGGAAACGGCATTGAGAAGGCAACATTTTTTGTAGAAAAGAAAACGCCATTAGAAACCAGCATCGCTCTATTCTTATTTATCTGTCTAGAAATTAGTCAAGCCTCATTCAAATTGTTCTTTATTACCAGCAGGCCGTTTGTCAGCAAAAAATTTAGTGCGCCCTTACATGCTGTATGTATGTATGTACATATAACTAATATTTTAGTAATTTTTATTTCATAGCTTTGAGCTTTTCTGAGGGTACTTAAGCTTGAACAAATACATACATATGTGAAATTTTAGAAAAACAAAATGTCTGTTTTAGTCAGTTAAAAAAAAAGTTCTAGTTTTAATTATTCATTTTTTACGAAGTCGTCGTTATCATTGTAAAAATATAAGTAGAAATTTCATACCAAATATAAATATTTCTTTTTAACAACCGTTACGTAAAAGTTACGGTGAAATAAATGTGAATCGAATCAGAAAAGTTTGTTTGTTATTTTCAAAAACATGAGATTATAGAAAGTGCAACGAAGCTGGTCAGTAGTGCGATTCACTAACTTTTAACAATGCGACTTGTCGAGATGTCAGCTAACAATTTTTGTTGTTTGCAGTAACGATTGTGCGATTCATTAACTGTGCTGCCGCTAATGGCCACAAATCCGTTGCATATGCCTAGGCGCTCGTGTGTGCACAAAGTTGACAAGCATTTTATATGGAAGAAAAAGTGCAACACCCTCCACGAAAAAATTCTAAAAAATCAACGATAACTTTTAGCGACTTGAAACTTGCACTTTATCAGACTAAAAAAGAACGGGCTACAAAACTGCATACCCGTAAATCTTATAAAGATCCTGAATAAAAAGTTCGAAATATTTATAAACATTTTTTTTAGTTTGATTTTTTGGTGGGATTTTGTGCAAGCTTTGAAACTTTTATTTTTGTGGTTTCTGTTATTATATAGTAGAAGGAACTATTAAAAATAAAATTATTAAAAATAAATAAATACACATAAGTAGCAAACAACATAATTTTGAATTTTTCTGCCAAATTTTGCTCGCAGCTGTAAAAAAAAAGTTTACGAAAAACATTCAAAATTAAAAATATTGTTACTATGTATTTAAAAATCACTGTATGCACGTTTTGTACATATGTAATTATTTTTAGGACTGATTTTATTATGCTAGTGTAATGATGATTAATAAAGAAATATTTAAATATGGACATACATATATGATATTTATACTTTTAACAAGCGATGTACACGTATTAAATTGAACAATTTAATTATTCAATTCCTTTAAATTCAAGGCATATTCAGTTCCTGTAAAATTAAAAAAATAGACTTATAACCTTTTAACTTCCAGTTTTCTATATTGCTTTACACCCTATTGGAAAATTATAACCGGAATCCATATAGACAAGTTTTAACGAACTATTTTTCGTGATATTTACTTTATTTTTGTTGTTTTTAATAGTGTATTCTGTGTGTGTGTATTATTTAAACAAAATTCAACAAACTTTCGTAAAACTTCAAGTTTTTAATAAGAATAATAACAGAATTATGTATGCAATTTTGTAGTCCATTAAATTTTAATACAATAAAGTGCAAGTTTGATGCTGAAAATCCTTTGATTTTTGATTTTTTTTGCTAGCGGTACTGTGCATTTGTACGAAAAAATTGTAGAACGTACCTTTTACGTTTTATTAACAAATCCAATCTAGACGTCGTCAAATTAGCGGCCTTTGTTATCGTTAACGACAACAGCTGATTTGGCGCTAACGAATGTTGTTAGGGAAACGTTTACCGAATAGCTAAATTGTTAAAATTGTTGTTTAGCTGACTTAACAACAACAAGAGGTGTTAAAATCTCGTAGTGAATCGCACCACAGAGCTGTGTGTGGCTTAAATTAAAGAATCTCTTGGAAAATTACATAGTAAATTATTGAAAAAAATTTGAAATTGCAATCAAAGTGAGAAAAGTATAGCTTGAAGTTTTGTAATTGGTTTTGGGGGATTGAGGTTACTGAAAAAAGGTTCCAAATCTTTGTGTCTAAAGTACGATAATTTTTTTATTAAATAACCCTTGGCTTAAGTTTTTGTGAACAGCATGTATATTTGAAAGTCAAATCATGCGATAAGAAAAAAACTAAATAAGTAAAACTAAAAATGAAAGCGAAATAAATAAAAATAATAATAAAAATGAAATAAATAAATATCTAATAAAATAAATTAAAACCAAACTGTAATAAGTAAAAATGAAAATGGAATAAGTATGAATGCAATTGAAAATAAAGTAAGTAAAAATAAAAGTGAATCAAGTAAAAATAAAATAAGTCAGAATAAAAAATTAAATAACTCATCCAAAAAAATATATTAAAAAAGTGGTACATACAATATATATATTTACGTATCTACAAACGGTGTTGGACATATCATTTTAGACCAAATTTAAAATGCTATTGTTTGTCACTAATGTTTTTTGTTTATTCTTAAAGTTTTTCAATTAAATTAACGTACATTTCCTAACAAATGCCATATAAACCCAAGTTGAAAACTTTGTAAAACACTGAAAAAAAATGCATCAAATTTTCATGCAAATTTCAAACTTTTCTCAGAAGTGTTAAAATTTTTTTGGAGTATACAGTTTTCTCAGTGTTCTACAAAGCTTTAAGCTTGGGTTTATATTCTATATTTTAATTGAAAAATCTTAAAAACTAATTTATAAACATTAAGGGCAAACAATATAATTTTGAATTTTTTCCAAAAAGATATATCCAACACTACATACACATGGATCTATATTTTAAAATATAATAAAACAAGTTAAAAAATTAAAATAAAAATTAATGATAAAATAATAAATAAAAATAAAGTTATAAATAGAGATAAGTATAAATAAAGTAACAAAAAAGATTAACAAAAACTGAAAATGGTAAATAAAAAATTAAAAAATATATGGCGAAAAATTTAAAAATAAATGAAAGCTAAATAATAATAGTGAAAAATTAACAACTTTAAATAAATGTAAAAATAAAAAGACAAAATTTTAAAACTGAGAATAAAATACATATCCTGAATATTCTGGTGAAAAATTTCGTTCACCGAGTTTAAAATTTATGGTTTAATACGCTCTCATGGTTAAAATTTACACATTTTCTTCCCATGAGCTATAGCTAATGAATACAGCAATTTTTACATAACAAATAAGAAGAGTTGGTGGTCAGTTTTGCATAATATGCATATTATGTACTTATATAAAACTATAAAAAGTGATAAATATTGGTCCTTCGCAGGATTGATTCTAAAATATATGTATACATATACAACTAAAGGCGAAAATTATTCAGTGCTTCAAGACAGTCTAATAAAATTTAATATTTTTCATGCCAATATCTACTACTTTTTTTTTGTAATTCTGCAGACTATTGAATGAAAACGAATTAGAATGAAATGATGAGCCTTGCGCGAGGCATCGAACCAAATTTAAAGTAAAAGTAAACAAAATTCACTAAAAGCGCATTGAGAATTCATTTTCAAATGAAAATGCAACTAAATAAATATTTTCACAGTTCGCCAGCGCCGCCTGTTTTGGCTGCCAACGAAATTCCTTGTCGATCATTTGCCTCTTACAAGTTGTCTGAATTTTTATTACAACAACTGAACTGAATTTATTTCATTGTTTTTAAATGTGTTACAAAGCTGTTTTTTTTTCTTCGATTTTTTTTCTGCTTTTGATTTCACTATAAACTTTTTGCTGCTTTTATTTCAAGCGAGTCGCGTAATGCATTACAAAAATGCTATTTTTATTGATTACATGATTGTTTGTTTTTTTTTTTGTACATGGTATATTTAAGCATATATAGTATGCGCATATGCACACTTTGCAGTTAATTGAGTATTAAGCTGAGAAAGATTACTGAAAATCTCCAAAAATTTAATTAACAAATTTTTATTAATCAACTATTTGCTTTTCTCTGTTCTCTCCTTTTGATTTACAGGCGGCCATAATGAAATTACACGCTACAGCAGCGAAGATGTTTCGGGCAATGAGTCCAGCGAGGCGGCGCCCAAAATGACGGAAATTGAACGTCAGGCGGAACTCAATCGTCATAAGGAGGAAATGCAAAAGAAGCGACGCAAGAAGAAACGCACCAGTTCTTCTTTGCACTCGTCAACATTTCAAGGTGAGTTTGAACTTACTCGTTGTTTGTTGGCTGGCAACAACAAAGAGCTTGATTGATAAACAGAAAAGCGCGAAGATTATTATTAAGGTAGGCTAAGTTTGAGTGATCTTCATATGTGCATACAATACAGTTGAAAAATCGTTACCTCTGTGTGTAGTCTGATTTTGTTCTTATATAGAATATATGTATGTATATATATTATCTACTTAAATTGAAATCTACTGAAAAATTTGTTTGTTTGTTAAGCACAAATTTAGCACGTTTAGAAAAAAATTTAACTAAAAAGTTCAAAGTAAAATGTCAAAAATATGCTTAAAACAAAGTTGTAATTAACATGTCCAATAAAATATGTACATATATAAAATAAAATAAGTCAAGACTTACCATTCAGCCTTTAGTAACCTTAACAAAAGCTTTGACTTATTTTATTTAAGTACACATGTTAGTTTGTACATACATATATTCTACATTTTTTATTAAATTTTGAAAACAACAAAAATATCGAAAATGTGGATGAAAATAAAAACATCGATAAAAGAACAATTATCGATAACATAACACATATCGATTACAAAAATGTCGATAATAATTAAAACAAAAAATTTCTATAGCGATAACAATAAATATATCGATAACACTAAAATTGTCAATACCAATTAAAATATAAATGTAAATAGGAATATCAATAGCGGTGAAGATAACGATGATAGTAAAAATAGCGTCAACTATATCGACAACAATAAAAAAAATATCGATATAAAAACGGTACGGACAACAAAAAAAAAACTCGAAGAAAATAAGTGCCTATAACAATCAAAATAACGATAACAATGAAAACAATGGTAACATTAAAAATATCGATATCAATAAAAATAACACATACAATTGCAATATTGATAACAAAAATAAAAGTCAGTGAAAATAACGAGATTGCATACAATAACCTTGGCAAGTCTCGTGCATATAAGATCACTGTTTTTTCTTTACTTGGGTTGTTTTTTTTTTCAGACCAATAAGTAATCCATTTAGCGAACTCTGTCCATTTTGTTTTTTATCGGAATTTGGACAAAACAACGCCAAAAAGGAAGCCGTATTGAACGTCATGCTGTCATTGTCCTCTTAGCTGAATTTTAAAAACAGCTGTTCGATGTTACCCGGCGTTTAAAACATTGTACATATCCATTTTTTAAATAACCTTAAATCTAAAATGTAATTGATGGCTAAGGCGCACAGGTTTATAGCTGAAAGTAATTATACAGATAAATGCCATATAAAATAATTTCATGTATTCAAATAAATGCGCAGCGGGCATACAGCTTCCACGCCGTCACTGCGCTTTACTTTTCCTTTCCACCGTTCACCATAGCTTTTCACTGTCTGTCTGCGTCCACTTCTACTGGCGTACATTTGTACGTACTTATTTGCCGGTTGCCACTTTGCACAATATTTCCGAAATGTGCTGCGAGTAGGTACAGCTAAAAATAATTTTAAAAGTAAGAACAAAAACCCTCGAAAAAAAATTAAAAGAAAAATAGAATTGCTTGCTTTTGTTTTGCATT